GACGGGAGGACGCTGGAGTCGCACTGGTCGCAGCGCCACGCGAGGGATGAGTGGATGGCACCGATTGTGGGCGCCGGCGACTGCAGAGGAAGTGCTCCGCACTGAACATGAGTGAATATCGCCACATTTTCTGCGAATTGGGCGTTTCTGCCAGACGCTGCACGTCGGATTTGTATTCCCGCGGTTGGTATCTGGGGAGTATCCACGAAATGTCAGCCAAACGCCCGATGGGCCGTTGCCCCATCACTGATCCCGCACTAGATATGAAGGATATTGAGGGTGTTATTTGGCGGGGAGAATATTTTTCTGCGGTGCCTGGGGATGAGCCCTCTTCGTGGTGACTGGACACGCTTCCCAACAACACGACGGATGCGAGGGACCCGGAGGAGACACATCTCAGTGCTGCAGCGCATGCGGCATTGAGGTGTCTCGGCATGCAGTTGCATCTGGCAGTGACTGAAGAGGGTAACGTCCGTTGTTTCCCATGCACGGACGCAGCGACGATTGCGTGGGCTGCTCGACCCTACGATGAGGGAAACGTTATTTGCCGTGACCACGCGCAGGTGTGCACGATATCCGCCAGCAGCGGTAGACTACTTCCAGTGGTTTCGTGGGACGGCGAGGAGAGAGCATGTGGAGCAGGACGGTCTCACCGGCATATACTGAACAAGGATTGCCAGGGGCTTCCGTCCCCGTTGCGGAGAGCATTGAGACCGGCCGCGGCACACCACCGAAGGATGTAGACACGGCTGCTCCTCAGAAGCATCCGTCGCCAGAGGAGAAGTGGATCCGGCCAGGATGCCCCGACAGACCGCAAGAAACTTCTCTCGGTGGCAGGGATCGAAGCAGTGAGACGGACGGCAGGCAGGACACACCTCCGAATCCCGGTGATGACACTGTTGCTGCTGCTTGTCCCTGTCCGCTGCTTCTGCTTGCCTCTGCTGCTGCCGCCGTGGTAACACTCCATCGAGTTGCGGTGTGGTCCGCGTTGCGCTGCGAGGTGACTGTGCTTCCTCCTGCGTGGCCTGCACTCAGCATTGGATGTCCAATAGAAAAACATCCATTTCAATGGGTCCCTTTCTCCATATGCATGTGCTGTGTCCGCTCCGTTTTTGTGTTTGAAATTGGTTGTATTTCCGATGCACACAGGTCTTCTTGTGTTGGTTGCCGATGTTGGGGGCATCATATGGTCGTATGGCATTGCTTGTGTGTTTGTTAGATTTTCTGAGACGCACATACACAAAAAGCGGTGCGAGTGAAATGTGCACACACAAGACACACACGCATATCCAATGACATTGTCTGTGTGACTTCTACTTGACATATTATGTGGGGCGGGTTGGTGCGAGCAAGGCCGACGGAAGCGGGCAGCTGTGTGAGCCCAGCAATGGCGTTAGTGGTTGTGTGCGGGATTATATATTCCACCAGATGCTTGACGCCGTTCATGGATCGCCTAAAGTTTTTTTCTGCGATGCCCATGCTGCGTCTGTGCTGAGCTGCTCACTGCGTCTCCATGATCTCATGGAGCACGGCGTGACGCTACTCGAGGACCTCATGACACCGAGGCAGCCGATTATGAGTAGCCCTGCGCGCTACTTTTTTCCGTGGAGGATGCGTTTGTGAGCCGCGTGGTTGAGGATTGGATGGCAAAGGTCCCATACAGGGATGTACACATCTTTGTGTTGGGGTGCACCCCGCATCGCAGTCCTTAGCAACTCCCGCGGGCTCGGATAGCGCCGAGGGCGATGCGTTCCATGGACATTATGTTAGACTTTGCTGCCCCTGAAGTGCTGGTGTTCCACCTCAGCATGCAGAATGGGTTCCCTCTGCTGCTGTCGCCGCTGTCACCTCCGAATTGAGAGTCCGTTGTGGATGTTGCGACGTCACGTCTTGTGGCGGCTTTTCACGCCATGAACAACGGTGTGCCCGGCATTTGCCAACAAAACAGGGGCAACATCTGCCATGGGTTTGCCGGGACCTTTTTCGGGGGCTCGCCAGGCAATACCACGAAGAACCGGATTTCACTTAGGGGCGCCGACAGCCGCGGCAACCCGGTGCGGATCATCGTTGATTGGGGCTGTGTCACGGTGACGCCGCTGATGTACCAACGCACATGTCAGTGTCTGCTTGATGACCTGATGCCGCTGGAGAATAACTTGTATGAGCGGACCTGTAGGAATTGTCTGGGGGTGGACTCGAAGCGGCAGTAATTGATGGATGAGGAAGATGTGTACTGGTGCTTCTACCGTCATTGTTTTCTTGCGCAGTGCGTGGAGGAGCCTTCGGTGGCGCTGAAAAAACTCCACGCGTATCACCCGGGATTGGCGCAGGGCGTGGAGCCGAAGGCCAAGCTTGCGGAGTTGGGCAGTGCGGTGCGGGCTCCGCCGGAGTTTCGGGAGAGGCAAGTCAGACCGTCGCTGCACATCGATGCTTGCGCGGGGCTTGTGGCACAGTACCGGGAGAAGCGACTGGCGGAGGTGCGGGAGGTGGAACAAGAAATCGCCGTTGGGCACCAACCCCTCAGGAAAAACCTGGATGGCGTGCGGCGCCTGACGAGGAATGCCGCCATGCCCCGGCCAGTGCGTCTGCGTCTTCTCCTGTTGCTTGTGGCTGCGAGCAGCACCGACGAGTTGACGGAGGCCAGGAAGCAGCAGCAGATCCAAGACGGTGGACTGACTCCCGACGCCCATTTGTTTGCGAACCTTGAGCATGTGACGAGGAGGGCCGGGAGCGTGCAACGATACAGCACGGCGTCGGCGCAGAGCGGACGGAGCACGAGTGCCTCTGCGAGCAACGCCGCGACGGACGAGGATCCGTTTCTGAAGCAGGTCTGCATGCTTATGGAGACGGCGGACAGTAAGAGGACTCTGCGGGTTGGGCTGTCGTTGGCATCGATGGAGCGCGATCATGCGATAGGGCCAAATGGCGCGAGTGGTGGCCAAAACAGTGGAGAAGCAGGAAAAAACGCCGGGCCATTTCAAGGGTGTGGTGGCAAAGAGGAGAATCATCCTGATCTGGGTGGCGGTGGCGGTGGTGGAACGATTGCCCTCGCAACTCCTCAGCGCATTCTGCTGATTGTTTTGGGTGGTTTGTCCTGCAGCGGGAGGCGCTCGGTCTATGAGATATCCAAAAGGTATGGCCGTGAGGTGGTCATTGGGGAGCCTCGTTGCCGCGTCCTGAGGTGTGTTTTTGCAGGGACTTGGCACCCCACGGCAGTAGAACTCACGGGCGAGACACGCAAAGGAACGCATCGAGGGCCAAAGAGTGGGAAATATACAAACACACACGATTGCGGGTGTCCATGGGGATTGTGTGCGCTTCTTCCTGCATTCACTTCCTCTCCAAGAAGTGTTCAATACGATACGCGTGTGTTTCAACGGCCGCGCTGCTCGCCTTTTGCTTTTTTTTTTTTCCTGCGTGTGCGGTTGCAAATCATTTCTCTGCTACGATGAATGCGGATAAAAAAGGAGGGACATTTGTGGAGCATGCACCCACGGCTTCAGTGTTCATCCACTGATGCTGACCTTTCTTGCCGGGGCATTTGTGCACGCTTTTCCACCAATGTCTATTTTTTTTGGCAGAGGAGGCAACGGGTGGGCATTCGTGAGTGCTGCGGCGGGCTGTTGTTGCCCTCGACGGGACGCGCTTAACGGCGGCAGCTCCATGACTTTGTGCACAAAAGGAATGGGACTTTCTCCGGATCCTCACCGCAGGCGCATGCCGTGGACGGCCGCAAAGGATTGTGTGCCCGGTGTTTTTCATAGCTCCAAGGAAAAGATGGTGTTGGATGGTGCACGACGAGTGGATGTGGATTGCGTTGACCGTGCATCGCAGGTGTATCCGCTGGAGGCATTGCGGGCGACTGTGAACAAATGCTAGTACAATAAATGCAGAGGAATGAACATTTTTTAATTGGCTTCTCAGGCGGAATCCAATGTACTCAGGCAATGGGTTTACCGCGAGGATTGGCAGGAGTGGACGCACGACGAGAACTCCACTCGCGTCGTCATTCATTTCCGTCGCCGCGAGACCACAACGCAGCCCGCGCCAATAAGCCTTGCGGATTTTCTGGGATGGCATGCGCTGTTTCGCTTGGCGCCATTGTTCCCCATTCCCGAGCGTCGGTGCAGACGTCCCTGTCGATGCAAGTTCCTATCGCTTGCGGGCACACACCCATTGATTGATGATGCGGCCGACACCCCAGCCCATTGCTGGTGCTTCTGGCATGACTGCTGCACCGCCCCCAGCAGCTGGTGCAGCGGGACTGGGGACGAGAACACGGCAGACCAAGCTCAGTCAGATGGTGCTGGAAGCCCTGTCAGCGTCTCGCCTACCCCAGCGACCCACCACACCACCGGCGAGCACAGGAATCGACGGAACAGGGAAGGCATTGACGGAGTGTCAGGACACCAGTTGTCTTCCCACATCACTCTCATTCAAACAGCAGGAACAATTAACGACAACATCATTCACCAACAATGAAAAAGGAACAACGACCACTGCCGACAGCGACAGCAGCACCGCGGTCTTCTACACCACTTCCCATTTTTTGCATCTTGTTGTTGTTGCGTGTGCGGCCGCTGCTGCGGTGGCGTCCGGGCCTGCATGAAGTGGTGTGCGCTGAATATGGACGAAGGCCGATGGCAACTGAATTGTTTTTGTGATGAATGTTGGCTGCGCTTCCCGTGGACCAACAATCCACGTGGTGTGCGGGGATCTACTTTTTAATTGTTACTTTGCTTTTGTGTTGCCGTGTGCGCTGCACCTCCTCTTGTGTGTGTGCGTACACTCCGTGAGGGCTTCAGTCACGACGGACCGCTCTCGCCGTGTTTGCATGCGGTGGAGCCTTGTGTGCCGCTCCTGTTTGCTTCTCCCTCTTCCATCTGTGTGTTGGTGTTGCGGCAGGGCTGTGTGTGTGTGTGCCTGTTGCCGTGGATTGGAGTGTGTGTCGTGCGTGGTGTGCGGCGTGCGGTGCATGCCTGGCTGCTGCCCTCTCCTCATGTGGTGTGCCCTCTGTGTGTGTCTGCCGCACCTCTCGTCTCCCCTGTTGCTCTCCATGTCCCTCACTGTGCAGATCAGCTCCACACCACTGAACGACCACACTCACGATGATGACGTGCCGTCTGCTGTGCGCCCTGTTGGTGCTTGTCCTGTGCTGCTGTCCGTCCGTGTGTGCGACGCAGAGTGAAGATCCAGCTGGTAAATCTGGTTCAAAGGATGACGAGAAAGGGGAACCAAGTGAGGGGACGGATTCACCTGATGCAGCTCATCCTTCGCCACAGACAAAAGAGGAGAAAAAAGAAGAAATTAAGGGGAGGAATGAGGTACAGGAACCAAATACGGCGACTCATACGTCACAGGAAACGGCTACAGTAACCGAAACGGCAGAGTCACAAAATACTTCCAGTATTACACAGGAAAAAGATGGTGGGGAGTCTAATGGACGGACAGAACATACGAATGCCGTTACGGCAAATGAACAACATAAGGAATCTAATGCACCAACCACGACGACCACTACAAGAACGACAACGACCACAACGACCACTACTACGACAAGCACGACGACGACCACTGCGCCGGAGACGCCAAATACAACGACTACAGAGGCACCAACCACGACCACCACCCGCGCACCGTCACGTCTGCGCGAAGTTGACGGCAGCCTCAGCAGCTCTGCGTGGGTGTGTGCCCCGCTGCTGCTCGCCGTATCCGCGCTGGCGTACACCACTCTGGGCTGAAGAGGTGTGTGCGGGCTGTGCGTGCCAGCACTCAGCCACGGGGATTTGTGCGCGTCCACTGTGGTGCGATGTAACTAAATAAGAGAAAATAATGATTGTGTTTTGCTTCCTTTGCTTCCGCTGCCCTGCTGTGTGCTCCGCGTTGCTGCTCCCTGTATCCGTCACGTTGAATACATACCAGACACATCCTTATGCAAAACACGCACACAACTGTTTGCATGGACCCACTGTTGGGTGCTGGTTCATGCACGCTGGAGCCATTGGGCGCAGCTTCTTGTTTTTTTTTTTTTGACTTTTTAAACCTTATTGTTGCTTTTTTACTTGTGTTTTGTTTTTAGTTCTTTTGTGTTTTTTTTTCTCATTATTTTCTGCGGGCGGTGTGTTCGTGTTTCCCATTTCCACTGGTTTCTACTGCCTCATGGTATGTGCTGCTTCTGGGCTGCTGCCATTTGTCACTGTGCGTCGGTTGTGTGTGGTGTAGCGGACGTGTCTCTCCTTTTTGCTTTTACTCTGCGTTGACGGGGCGTTAGTTTGTGCTGAAGGCTACACGCAAGTGACAGGAGTGATGGCGATGATGATGACTGGCCGTGTGCTGCTGGTGTGTGCCCTCTGCGTGCTGTGGTGCGGTGCCGGCGGTGTCTGTACTGACGAGGTGGTACCTGTTGACGATGCACCTGTTATTTCTGCGAGTGGTGGTTCTGGAGCTGCCGACAAAGACACTGGTCGTACGGTGCCTGGTGGAGCGGAAAACCTTTCTGCACAGCAATCACAGCTGCAGAAAGTTGGGGATTCGTCACCCGGGATATCGTCATTGGAAGCTGCCTCAGGGATTGAATCAACAAAACAGCAGACGCAATCCGACCACAAATACAAGGATCCAGTGACACCTTCACAATCATCGGGAGAACGGCGGCAAGATGAACAACATGAAGGTCCACCAGGGAAACCCGGGGCGTCACTCGGTCAAGAGGAGAGGAAGCATGCATTAGATGGAGTTCCAGAGAGAAATGATCCGCCACCTGCTTCAAGTAACAACAATACCGTCAGCAGTAATAGTGAGGAGCGCACAGAAGATACTCCGAGCAGTACTGAAATTATTGTTGCCGTACCGTCAGAAGAGGGGCAGGAACGTGAAAATGTCACTCCTTCCTTGGAACAACCTCGGGAAACTTCCACAGCCGCACCGGCCATTACCACTCAAACAAGTTCCACGACGACACCGACTGACGTTAGTGAGAGCAACACCGTCAAAATGAGTGATGCATCACCAAAATCAACAAGAACCGCTCAAACAAATCATACGGCGACACCTGGCGACAGTGACAGCTGCACCGCGGTTTCCCACACCACCTCCCCTCTTTTGCTTCTTCTTGTTGCGTGTGCGGCTGCTGCTGTAGTGGTGGCCGCGTGAGAGTGAGGGAGAGAGAGCCATGCACCGCCCGCACACACACTCGCCCTTCTCACACTCTCTGAGTGTGTCCCCTTGCATGGACTCTCGCCCTCACCTCACCCCACGAGGCACACACATAATGTGCCCATTGTATATATGCATGCACACCCATGCATGCCCGTTGGTGCTCTCTTTTGCACGACACGCACCGCCGCCGTCCTGCCTGGCTGCATGGGCGGAGCACCGTAACTGTTTTTGTTTTGTTTCCATTGCCTTGAGTGGGCGACCTCTCTCTCTCTTTCTCTCCCTGTGTGTTTGTTTTGCTTTACGGGAGCAATGAGAGTGTGTGCGCTGGTCGTCCCACGCTTCGGCTTTTCTTATCGTTTTACTTGTGTTGTGGTTGAGTGCACCCATTACCTTTTTTTTTTGGATTATTGGCATGCTTTGACTGCGTACGCCTAAATTCTCCTTTTGCATTTTCTCTTTTCTTTTGAGCGACTGTAAGTCTTTTTTATCCTTGTCAAGCCATGAAGTATTTTCTTTTACGTACAGCATGCGTCAGTTGATCCACGTCACCCCACGGTCTGCAGTGCTGCTGGTGCCTCTGGTTGTGATGAGGTTTGTGATGTGTTGTTTTGGCGGGTGCTTTGCTGCCAGCCTGACGTACTCCTGCTTCTCGGACAAAGCGATGCGTGCGGACAGGGAAAATTCGATCCCGGCTGTGGTGAGGGACGACCCTTTTGGATCTGAGGGTGCGTCGCAGACATGCACCGTCATTGGGAGGAATGGATGGGCGCCCATCCGCATCAATGTGTCGACAAGGGACCTGGATGATACCAGGAAGTATTGCAGCTCAGAGCGGTAGCACGCAATGAATTCATTGGTGGCAATTGCGAGTGTGAAGGTGACGTTTTTCTATGCTGAGAAAAGGGAGGTATTTGTTTCGTTATACTTTGCTGCCACTGTTCGTTAATGGCCTGCGGGCTGTCCGTAGCGATGTGGCCAGTTTTTCCGTCTTGAACGATGCTGTCGTGCGAGAGGGTGTGTTCCCAAATAGTCGGATGCTGAGTTGTCGAGGACGGCGGCATTCCCACAGCGTGTGCGGCAGGTCCTCCCGTGGATTGTCGGGGGCTCAGCGGCTGGTGGTGGTTGCAGCAGAGGAGTGGCTGAAGGGCTACGGCTGTCATTGGAGCTTGCAGAGGTGCGTTGTCCGTTTTTTGCTCGTTGATACGCTTGACATTTTCGGTGGCGACCTGCGCTTGAGGCACTTGTTGGGAAGAACGTGGAGCTGTCGCAGAATCCACATGTGAGGCCTTCTGCAACGATTGGAGTGCCAGGGTTAGTGCGTCGGGCGTGTGCCTTCATATTGTGGACGGACGAGAAGACGCTGCTGCAGCTTGGGCAGGGCGACGTTGATCCGCTGCTCGTCGTTCTACGAGGAGGTGCCGTGGACACGCCAGGTGGAGGTTCCGGAGGAGGTCGGGGCGGTCCTGCCTCTTCAGTGAGGGAGGAGCAGCACCACCGACATAAAGGGTTGCTTGTGATCTGCAGGACGCGTGCCGGTCTGCCGAGGAGTGGGCAGGAGTCGCATCGCACCTGCGCACGAAGTCCTGATTCGATGCCCGATGTTTGCCTGCACACCAGGAATGGTCTTTTGTTGCACCGACGAGCGCCTGGCGTGCGGTGTGCACGACTTCTTCTTCCTCCTCTACTTCCTTCCAGTATAGCCCCTTGACGGCGGTAAGGAATTCCACGTGCCAGATTGGGATGCCTCATTGCTGCAGGGATCGTGCAATCGTGGCTTCTTCGTCAGCGGCCTCAGTGCTTGGGATACCGCAGTGCGATGGACAAGGTATAAATTCTGCAGGGTGACCTCGCTTCACCAAGGAAAGCAGCATAACCCAAATCCCTTCAGCAACGCATTCTCGCACGGCCAGTGGGGCAGCGCGGAGTGCCTCAATTGCCGAAAGGGAGTTTGTAGCAACCAGGATTTGTGTGGGCGATTGGGATGTTTCCAGACGACGAGGTATGAGATGTCTAAAGCCATTTTCAGTGGCAAGGCACTCTGCTCTCTATGAGCATGCGAGTCTGCCAGCTGCTGCACGATGGTCCTCCACAGGGAGATCATTTGTCTTTGTGGAGCCGTATAATGGTGCAGCGGATCCAGATGCGAGTTCGGCGAGGGATGAAGAAATGTCTGTCCATAATTCAAAATTATAATATTCTAGAGAGGAGTAAAGGGAATCAAAATCCGTGCGCTTGCCATCGTCAGAGGCGTCGTTGGCAAAGAGTGGCTGATTAAATTCCATTTTATTGCAACCCACAGTGTCCCAGGGAAAAATACGATGTTGGGTAATAGGAGGAGCGTGATTGTGGTTGTGTGGTATCCCAATAGTGCCACATACGCGTTCTAATCCATTAATAACGAAATCTTTCGGAAGTGGGATTGATGTCGCCGCTTTCCTATGCATGGACAACGGCACAGGTTCCGTGTAGATAAGGGAGCGCAAATCCTCGTGATTATGGAAACGTGCATGGTGTTCGTGTTGTGTGAGTGCATGACGCCAAATTATCTTCCGGAGCGGGAGAAGATTGGCTTCCAAGCAGACAGATGTATCTTCCGTTGTTGCACTGATGCCAAGGTGTGTTGTACAACTGTCGAGGTACAGTACTTCCGTATTATGGAGGTAGATGTAGGCGAGGCATGGGAGAATTGACTCGCCATAATATAGTGACACACCATGGACGTATCCAATCAAAAAGGATTGCATGGTGTGATGGGACGCACCAGTCTGTGCGACCAGGCGTAATTGACAACGGCGTGGCATTATCCGCTTTGCAGCGGTGGAAGCGTGCGGACCACAATTAAGGAGTTGTTCAACCGTGGTGTCCAGTAACCGCACCGAGTGTGACTGAATACGTAGGTTCCCATTGCCAGGAAGGAGATTGACCATTTCCTCTTCAGACCGTGTGTGTGAAGAGATGTGGAATAGAGCGGCTTCACTCTTATCAACGTTGATTTTTAGGCTGTGCTCGGCAGCCCATGTCGTTATAGGTGACAGGGCAGGTTGCATTGCCGCAGCACATGCATGGATGTCCGCACCTGAGGCAACAAGTGTGAGGTCGTCAGCGTACATGAGTGCGGAGGCAGAATAGATGCTGCCCATGCGGCGCAGCAGATCATCCACACAGTGGAGGAAGAGTTGGGGTCCCGGGACGCTGCCTTGCAGTACTCCGGCTGAGGTGAGCTGTTTCCGGGAGTGCTGTTCGCGAGTGCATACCACAGCATAGCGGCCCCGCAGGTAGTTGTGCAGCCAGCGTTTGGGTTTGGGGCCAAGGCGTGGAAGTCCGTCAAGCATGCCGAATAACTTCCCATGGTCAATGGTGTCGAAGGCAGTCGAAAAATCAGTCAAGGCTACGAGCGAGCGATGGTGACGAGGGTGGCGTGTGGGAGCGCCGCCTCCAGGGTGCTCATACTCCACAATGCCAAACTCATTCAATTTACGGGTAATTTTACCAATAACAATTGTCACCACGTCCGATGTAGAACGCGAAGGTGTAAATCCGAATTCACGTTGGTGTTGCGGCAATAACGCTGACAGACGACGATGAATCATTCTTTCGGTTAACTTGAATAAAACAGAGAGTGATTTGATAGGTCTGTAACTCTCTGGGCGGTATGGGCCCTTCCCAGGTTTGGAATGGGAATAGTGTCCACCGTATTCAAGGAGCCAGGCAGGCTGCCATTTGCGAAGGAGTTGTGGATCATCGTTCTAAGAGTGCCGCGCGCAACGGGCCCGGGATGGTGCAGAAACTCATTCAACATGTTGTCGTGGCCAGGGGCTGAGCCGAGCGAAGAGTCGCGGATGGCCACGTCAAGCTCATACGGCGTGAGAGGTCGATCCATTTCCCAGTCACCAGGGGGCAATGGAGTGCGGCGAGCAGCAGCAGTATAGGGTAATGTGGCACGTGAAGCTCGTACAAAATGACGGACGAGCAGATTTGCCTGTTGCCGAGGCAGGACACAGACGCGGTCCGAAGATCAGTTCGGAGCACAACCGATTCCAGTGGATGAGGGTGCGGCGCCGCCACGCCGCGAAGATATCGCCAGCTTGGGCTGGATGAAGCCCCAAGTTTTTCCACACGGGCTTCCAGAAGTGTAGTGAAGCCACGGCGTAAGGCTTGATATTAGTCCTCCACTTTTTGGATGAATTCGGCTCGAAGCAGGCTGTCTCCTGGTGAGGCAATGTGTGTGCTTTGTGTGCTGCTTCTGCGACGGACTCGGCTTGTTCCATTTCGTTTCTCCAGATCGTTTTGGGCTGTCACGCTGCCGCGCGGGATATGGCGCTCAGCTGCTCGTAAGATACCACTGCGAATGTCCAACCATGTGGACGCGGCGGCAAGAAGTGTTTCACACAACGAGGTGGAAGCAGGTCAGTCCGCTTTGCGCAGGGCAGAGGTGGCTTTCTCCCGCCGAGGCAGCGTGTTGGCTGGTCGCGGAATGCCATCATCCATCCCCACCGAGTAAGATATTAAGCAGTGGTCCGAATCCATGTAGGGAGTGGATTGCCAGTGGGTGATGCGTAGCACGCGATACGCAGTCACTTCAGGGGACGAGACATTACGATTTGTGATCCGCGTTGCCTGCACCGGGTCATTTGCCAGCCCAAAATCATGTCAATTAAAGTAGAGGACAAATCCTCTCCTCCAGTCGTTGAGGGTAGGTGTCTGTCCCAGAGTCCATGATGTAAGTTCAGTTCACCCGCGATAATCGCTGCGGGGCCTGAGCGACGAATGGCAATAATAAATGAAGAGCTCTTAAAGGTTGCTGAGGGAGGATTGTAGAGATTCACCACGCAGATGCTGGGACAGCCCTGTGGAAACACACGGACAGCAATGGTCTCCAGGAGGTCTGTGCCAGGGGGCGTCGGGCACTCGCACGGCAGAGAGTGGCGCACCAGAATGGCAACGCCACCACCGCGCCCAGTGCGGCCTGAAGAAAGTCATTATAGCCATATAGTTTTGCCGCTGTGGCAATTCGAGTATTTGTTTCCTGGAGGTGAACGATGTCAGGTGGATGCTGCTCCAGTCGCACAGCAGACGCAATATTTTTTACGGACGAGAGGGTTGCAATGTTGAGCTGCCAAATAGCGATGTAGCTATCCACCTCGGGGCCGGAATTCTTGTGGACGTCACCGCCACGGGTGATATCAACGGAATGACCGCAGCGAAACGGTCGTGCAGTTTTGTCCGACAGTCTGCAGGCAGACCGCTTCACCTCCCCACACCGGGCATGGCGTGGAACCTTCTCGAGGGGTGGAGTTGTCTTGGTCTTCGTCGTGCTAGCAGCAATGCACCGCAGCGGAGTTCCTATATGCAACCAGAGCCCCAGCACCGCGACAAGGTGCGACTTCATCGCTGGGGAACTTGGATAGTCGCAACGGATGGCGGTGTCGATGTTCCCAAGTCAGCCTGGGTTGGAATATTGCTCTCATCCTTGCATTCCTCGGAGATAATAGAAAAGGCCAGTATAAACTGCGGTATACGCCCATGCAGCTACAGGACGGAATCCCGTGCGCTGCTCCTTGCCCTAGAGAAGCTGATTATCCCTCGTATCCAGCACGGGCATAAAACCCTGCTTGTGGTTACAGACAGTCAGTCTCTTCTAGCGGCTCTAAACAAGGGCCCGCTCAGTCAGACAGACTGGACGGAGGACCGGATCTGGCAACGTCTCTTGACACTGACGTGTGCTGGCTGGTCTGTGCACCTGCAGTTTTGTTACGGACATTGTGGAGTACATGCTAACGAGCTTGCAGATCAGTATGCGACGCAGACTATGGAAACTGGACAATACACGGAGCAAGGAATTGCACCTTTATGGCATACGGATCTGCTGACATGTTTTACTACCCAGCTCACCAATAAGTGGCGTAGTACGATTCGTCAAGACACTCATCGCTACTTGCTTTGCGGCACAAGGCCATCAGATCTCAGCGGTAAGGACCTGATCACTCAGGAAGTTCTTCACCGTCAAGAACTGGTTCACCTCGCAAGGGCAAGGTGCGGCGAATCTGAGCTCTGGGGCCGACTATACTGGGCTGTGAGAGATTGCACGAACCAATGCCGTTTCTGCAACATCTCACCAGAACAGTCTGCGTATATGCGCTCTAACAACGATCCAACTGCACCGGGGACGGACACTGTTCCCCCGTCGGCAAGGGAGGAAGACGTCTCTCCAGTAAGGAGACGGACCGTCACACGCCGTCGGAAGGAGAATTGCCCGTACCGCGATTCTATATTGACGGGATTCTCGAATCTCGTCAGTCACTGTCGGTCATTTCACCCGGAACATCCTCCACCGCTTCCCGAGCTCAAATGCGATTTCTGTGACATGGTTTTCCCCACACGTAGAAGCACCGCACAGCACAGAAGTCGCTGCGCACACAACCCAGACGCCAACCGACATCTAAACAGCAGTGCCAGGAGGCGATCACTGCTGCCGCAGGATCAGCCAGCTTCCACAAGCGCGCCAATTGGCCCGCAGGAGACCTTGCACCATCTGCTTCTAGAATGTCCAGGCGCCTTGGCTGTGCGCCAAAGACTGGGCATTGAACAGGACCTCCGCCTCGGAAAGTTCTCTCAATGGCAGTTGCTTCATGGCAGCAAACTCATGTCGTTGCTCGACCACCTCCTCGGCATTCAGATGGCATTGTATGGCTAGACGCGCTGGTAAAAGTACGGAAAAAATAATAATGAGCATTCTCTCCACTATAGAGACGTGGTGCATCTTGCGATCCCGATGGCGGCTCTCCCGTTCCACCGCTGTTTTTGCGCAACAATTCATCACCGTCATTTTTGTGATTTGGTCGGCTTCGTGTTGCGCTCCGGGTTCTCCTCCTTCCTCGCCTTGCGGTGTTTCCTTCGCCGTCCCTGGCACCTCTGACTCTCCCGTGACGGTTTGTTCCGAAGCCTGACTGCCCTGGGAGGTCCTCCCGCCACCAGCGTGCACTCCACCTGCTGCCTGCTGAGATGCGTCGGGGCGTGGGGATGTTGTGTCTGCAGCGTGCCCTCCGCCCAAAGACTCCGGTCCACTTGCACGCATCCGAGCAGCAGACGCGCTGCCAGTGCCGGACGGATTGCAATTGTTACTTCGCAGTGGATCGCTGCTGGATTGATCCTGCCTCGTCGGAGCAGTGAGTGGTCCTGCGGAGGTGGGACTATGGCCCTCACCCGCGGTGCTTTCTCCACCCTCCTCGTCTTCCTCCTCTTCCTGATTGCTATTGTCCTCAGAGTTCACATTCCCCTTTCGTCCAGAGCCACCGGCCACGGACCCAAATTCCGCAGCCATCACAGCCCGCGCGTGCTCAGCAGCCACCGCGCCATCACAAGCGGGCCGCACACACACACCGTCGCAGCACATAGCCAGTCATCATCACGAATAGTGGAGTCGCCCAACGCTGTGGAGCCGACCTGCAAAAGCACAGAAAACAAAAGGAAAGACACAGCTGCTACACCACGCACAGCCACCGCACAGTGACAAATGGCAGCAGCCCAGCAGCAGCGGCAGCGCACACACACCATGAGGCAGTTGAAATCAGTGAAAGGGCAAAAACACACAAAGCCCCGCAGCAAGTAAACAGAGAAAACACACAAAACAATTAGAAACAAAACACAGGTAAACAAACAGCAATGAAGTTAAAAATGTAAAAACACAAAAAACAAGGAGCTGCACAGTATGGCTCCAGCGCGCACGCACCCATCCTCAAATGTGATTCCACGCAAACAGTTGTGTGCGTGTCATGCATATGAGTGTGTCTGGGATGCGTTCAACGTGACGAATGTGGGGCACAACACGGAGCACACAGCAGGGCAGCGGAAGCAAAGGAAGCAAAACACAATCATTATTACTCTTATTTATTACTTAGAAAAAGAAATGAGACTCACAAGTCCCCGTGGTAGAGTGCTGGCACGCACAGCCCACACACATCTCTTCAGCCCACAGTGGTGTACGCCAGCGCGGATGCGGCGAGCAGCAGCGGGGCACACATCCACGCAGAGCTGCTGAGGCTGCCGTCAATTTCGCGAAGACGTGACGGTGCGCGGGTGGTCGTCGTGGTTGGCGCCTTTGTAGTCGTAATTGGTGCCTCGGTGGTAGTTGGTGCCTCTGGGGCAGTGGTGGTGGTTGTCGTCATTGTTGTAGTGGTCGTCGTGGTCGTCGTGGTCGTAGTTGGTGCGGCGGCCTTCTTTTGTTCATTTGACGTGTTAGTGTTCGTGTTTTCAGTCTCTTCCTTGCTTAATTGCCCTTCCTGATCCTGTTTCTTATTGGAAGTATTTTGTGACTGTGCCGTTTCTTTTATTGTACCCGTTTCCTGTGACGTATGAAGCGCCATATTTGGTTCCTGTACCTCCTTCCTTTTCTCCTCCTCTCCTTTCTGTGGCGAAGGAGAAGTTGTACTATGCGATTCCATCCCCTCACCTGTTCCCTCTTTCTCGACACCCTTTGAAACAGAATTTTTTCCAGTTGTATCTCCACTCGTTGTCCCGCACACGGACGGGCAGCAGCACAGGGCAAGCACCAACAGGGCGCACAGCAGACGGCACGTCATCATCGCGAGTGTGGTCGTTCAGTGGTGTGGAGCTGATCTGCACAGTGAGGGACATGGAGAGCAACAGGGGAGACGAGAGGTGCGGCAGACACACACAGAGAGGGCACACCACATGAGGAGAGGGCAGCAGCCAGGCATGCACCGTACGCCGCACACCACGCACGACACACACTCCAATCCACGGCAACAGGCACACGCACACACACACAGCCCTGCCGCAACACCAACACACAGATGGAGAAAGGAGAAGCAAACAGGAGCGGCACACAAGGCTCCACCGCATGCACATACGGCGAGAGCGGTCCGTCGTGTCGGCACCCCTCACGGAGGATACGCACACACACAAGATGAGGTGCAGCGCACACAGCAACAAAAAAGCAAAGTAGCAATAAAAAGAGGAAGATCCCCGCACACCACGTGGATTGTTGGTCCACGGGAAGTGCAGCCAACATTCATCACAAAAATAATTCAGTTTCCTTTGGCCTTCGTTCATATTCAGCGCACACCACTTCATGCAGGCCTGGCCACCACTGCAGCAGCAGCCGCACACGCAAAAACAAGAGCAAGAAATGGAATAATGCAAGCAACCATTTATTTGCTTTTCTGTTTGGATGTTGGCAGACGTCTGCATGCGTTTTGTTTTGCGGAGGGCAAACCTTCATGCCTGGATCGTGTGTTGGGGATTTCTGCAGGGTGCACAATTCGTTTACTTTTCCCCTTGTGAATGTTTCTTGTGTTGGTGCAGCCAACAATTCGGTTTGTGTTGTTCCTGCCTTTCGCTGGTAAGGTGTTGCAATAGATGTTTGTTTTTCCTTTCGTTGCTGTGGCACCCGATTCCTCGCCGTTTATTTCGGTGGAAATGAAAATATGTGAGTGGACTCCCACACACCAGAACGCACCTTCGCTCCTATTTGTTGGTGCATGGAAGGGCATGTGTGTTTGGTGGTGTCTCGTCCATATATTTTGAGGGTGTACATTCCCCTGCAGGCTGAGGGCGGGATGACGCTCCGTCGCGGTGCACTTCCCTCGCATGCCGCCCACTGTGATTCATCATGCATCACCCTCTCACACATTCCGTGGTGCCACACCGCTGATATTATTGCAGCCGCTATGATTGCGCGTACTTCACGCATTCGATTGTGCCACAATACATCCGCTCGTGTGGCCGCCGCATCCAAACAGCGGTGCCCAACACCGTGAGCGGCAGTCCACATCCCTGCATGTCCCAACGCAGTGGTGTTCGACTGTCAGCCAGGCGTCAGACAACAAGAGAGTCTTGTGCTGGCAGTACAACACACGGAGCTGCAGTGAATGACTCGGGCGGGGACGCATCTATTCGTCGCAAAGCAGTGAAAAGGAGTCGGGCAATATAATGCCGGCTGCATTCACGACACCACATCCACAGCCAAAGCATGCGATGTGACGTGTGTTTCACTGTTGCTGTGAAATGCCTGCAGACGACGTCACTAGTGGAGGCATGCCACCCATGATCAGCGGACAGACAATAATCGGCATGGGAGGCCACAAGAGGCAGCAACGACGCCAGCAGCAGGAGCAGATCCCTCTCTCCCTCCGTTGCCTTCGAGAAGTAAATATTCCACCAGCCACAGCCGACTGTGCCATCGTGACACCCCATGCACGTCGTGGCTGCGTCAACACATCCTGTTCCCTGCTGCGCCTCAAAAGATGCCTCACTCCGTCCACTAAGTGCATCGGTGTGGGCCGTGCCTGGGCTGTTCGTGAGGACCACAACGATGTGAGGGTCACCGAGTCGCAGCATGTTTGTTGTGACGTTGTTGCATGGCACCTGCACACACACACACACACACGCAGCGCCTGCATCCCTCCCTTTTGTGTCCGCCCTCTGCCGGAGTGGCCACACACACGGGCAGCAGCAAAATCATTTCACCCTCGACGATCCAAAATCAACACCGACATCCCTCGCGACGCAAAGATCTCAGTTGCCAGCACGGGCTTCCTGCCGCTCTGCCATCGACGCTGAAACACGGCACAGTGCACGCACCTATTTTCCTCGTGTGCAGTCAGCCGTTTGCTTCACACATTCTTCGATGGGCTGACGTCCACAAAAGCACGCCACAAAAGGCCACTGTGATCGCACACGCTCTTGCGATGAGCGTCTGTGTGTGCATGGATCCGCTGCTCACACGTGCTGGCACGACCGCATGCAGCCGGTGCCCTCGTGCCAGTTCATCCGCTCCAGCACGGAAAAGAGAAAACGGCCTATTCCCGATGCACTTATTCCCACCAGCAGCACCAACACGCTGGTCGTCAGCCGTCATCCCTCAGCACATCCAGGAACGCTGAAAAGTGACGTGGAACTGTCAGCCAGCAACGCCGCGATCCCCGCACGCATGTCGGCTCCACCAGAGAAGACACACAAATCACAAACAACGCCCTTCACACGTCATCCGAACATCATTCCGACACACCGTGACACGCCAAACAGAAGTATTCGTCACCCCAATGCACCTCCCCACACAATCACATAGTCCATGCACCACGTACGGCAGCAGCCCACACGCGGTCCAACAAATGTTCCTCGGATCAGTGTTATCCACGTGCTGTGGTGGAAAGTAAACAAAAGAGACGAGCTGCCAAACCCCAAAAGAGTGCCACGACTGGCCGCAACTCAACGGAACGCAGCCACTCAAATGAATTCAGTCCTGATTCCCTCAAACTCCCACCTTCCCCCCAAAAAGCTGCAAAAGATTGAAAAAAAACGCACCATCCAATGAATTCTTTGTGCAACACCAAAAGAAGCCGCGGTGCCTTATGCTGCCCTCACAGTCCGTTGATGATGCCTGGATGCGGATGGGCACCCATCGGTTCTTACAAACGACGCCGCACACCCGCGACGCATCCTGCGCTCTGAGACACGCGTCCCTCACTATCACCAGAGACGCCCACGCACCGTCGGTACGCAACAAATCGTCAAGGAACGAAGGATACGTCAGGCTGACAGCAAGACATCCGCCGACAGATCACGTCGCAGAAATCATCAATAACAGCACCAGCAGCGATGCAGGCAGCGGAGTAAAGTGGATCAGCTGACGCATGGCGTATGTCAAAGAAAAAAGCTTGGTGGCGTCACAAGGATACAAGAGGCTGACACTCTCTCAATAAGAAAGAAACAATATAAGAATACAAAAAAACAATTTTAAGCGTCCGCAGTCAAAGCAAGCCACTAATCGAAAGGAGGGTAATGGGTGCACTCAACCACAACACAAGTAAAACAATAATAAAGAAGCCAATGCGTGGGACGACCAGCGCACACACTCTCATTGCTCCCGTAAAGCAAAACACACACACACAGGGAGAGAGAGAGAGGTCGCCCACTCAATGCAATAAAAACAAAACAAAAACAGTTACGGTGCTCCGCCCATGCAGCCAGGCAGGACGGCGGTGGTGCGTGTGGTGCAAAAGAGAGCACCAACGGGCCTGCATGGGTGTGCATGCAATATATACAATGGGCACATTATGTGTGTGCTTCGTGGAATGAGGTGAGGGCGAGAGTCCATGCAAGGGGACACACACAGAGAGTGAGAGAAGGACGAGTGTGTGTGCGGGCGGTGCACGGCTCTCTCTCCCTCACTCTCACGCGGCCACCACCGCAGCAGCAGCCGCACACGCAAAAAAAAGAAGAAGCAAAAGAGGGGAGGTGGTGTGGGAGAACGCGGTGCTGCCGTCACCGCCGCCAGGTGTCGCCGTGCCATTTGTAATAACGGCGTTTTTGTCTTTCGCGGGTTCTTTTTGTATGTTTTCGGGATGTTCATGCTGTTGATGGTCATCTGCAAATACCGTTTCAATGGGTTCATCATCGTTGCGACCCGTCGCGTTTTCCTCGTCTGCATCATGAGTGACAGCAGCTTCACCAGCAATGGCTGATGCGGGTGACGATTGTGGGTCAGTGGTTCCATGGGATTTACTCTGTGTGGCAGCCAAAGGGGTTTCTTCTTCCAGCTGCTCTCTTAAACCGTCAGTTAGCTCTTTCTTATGCAATGCCTCTGGTGGTACAGGTGACTGTGACTTTCGCGTCGCTTCTGACCCCGAAGATGAGGCGAGCGGTGCCGTTACTTCTTGCGGTCGTTGGCCTTGTTGTCGGTTTTTATTCATTTCTTCCTCAGCGTCTGAATTTTGCTGTATTGCTTGCAGTGGATTTTCTTTTTCTTGACCTCCTTTTAGTTCTTCATTTTGATGCTTACTTTGTTCATTTTCCCTTTTTATTTCTTGTGGTTCTTTTCCTGGTTCATGAAGTGTACCCTGGTTTTCGATTGAGTGTTCGACAACTTGTATTTGTTCTTTTTCTTCTTTTGGGACTTTTGTTTTTTTGTGCAGTCTTTCACCTTCTCGTCCAATTTCTCCTTCACTTTGATTTGCAAGCCGGGACTGATTTTCTTGTCCATGATTCCTTTTATGTTCTTCGTCCAGTTCTTTTTCTTTTTCCTTTTCCTTTTCTTCTTCTTTTTCGACTTTATTGCCGGGTGTCGTTCCTGCCACTCCACCGGGTGGCGGGGGGTTGTGGGCCGCTGCTGCTACATCAGGCGACGGATTTTCTCTTGGGGGCTCTCCCACTGCGTTAGATGAAGTACTGCCTCTGGATCCCGCCTCACCATTACTGCTGCCAGCTGAAGAATCAACATCCAAAGAGAGAGGCCCTGAAGGCTCATTTTTACCGTCACTACCACCAGAAGGACCAGAAGGAGAAGCAGCTGCACCAGCAGGGGCACCAGCGACACCAACAGTAACGGGAACAACGGCGATGGAGTCTTCACTTGAACCCGAATCGTTGAGTCCTGCAACAGGAGTCTCTCCTTCAGCCGAAGCTTCAACGGCAGTAATGGGCAACGTTGACCGCAATGGCACCGTAATCGCCGTTTTATTACATCCGCTCGACATGTGGAAGAAACACGCTCCCAACACTTCCGACGCCATGCAGCCACCCAATGCGTTGTTCTCCCCGTCCCTCGCATAAACACCGCCAGCACCGCACCACAGCACGCAGAGGGCACACACCAGCAGCACACGGCCAGCCATCATCATCGCCATCACTCCTGTCACTTGCGTGCAGCCTTCAGCACAAACTAACTCCCCGTCAACGCAGAGTGAAAAGAAAAAAGAAGGAGACAATTCACACAACAACACGCACTGTAAACAACGGCACCAGAAGCACGCACACCAACCTGCAAAACAGAAGTAAAAAAGCAATACCAAAACAAAAAAAAGGGTTTATTGCCCAATTGGAGTCGCCTCTGCCTTGAAAAAAAAAACATACCTCACCAGAATTAACATTTCATACACCATGCAGTTCAGCAGGTCTGTGTTTTTGTATAAATAATGCCTGCATGAGAAAAAAGGTTTTACTGTTCCACCAGCCCACACAAAACACTATTCACATTTCATTGCGGCATCCGGCCTTTTCCTCCAATCCTCCTTTCGTGCAGTCCGTGGGACGCACTGCAATGAGGCCGGCACCGCGTGTGGGCAACAAAAGACAAAACAAAGAGGAGAAACACGTCACACACGACAGTGTGCAGCAGCCGAACATTACGTAAATAAAGGGTGCTTATCATTCCAGGAAGACAACAACAAAAATAAATAATAACAAAAGTAAAAAGAAAACCCGCGGAAAACGCGGCACATATTCTCCGTGAGGAGTCGCAAATCCACACTCCGTGTCTCAGAAGACTGCCACAACTCCACACAGTCCCAAAAACAGAGGCAGCAGTGGTTTCTCCACACACAAGATGATAATTTCGCTGCCTCCCACCGTCGGCAAGGACATGTCACCTTCGAAAAAGACTCCTCTGCTCGCTTAGATCTTCTTGTTTAAAAAAGATGCGCTCTGTGTGGCGCTGCTGCACGCACTGCTGTTTGTCGGCTCCTTGGCGGCGGGGGCGGGTACTCGAGGACCATGGATGCTGTCCCATCGCTGCACACATCGGTGGTATTGGGCGTCGTGAGGTCAGGAGTCAAATACCCCTCCGTTCCTACGTAATTATTCGTGCCATCGCAATCCGAGCAGCTCTTCGCCGCAAAATCGCAGAATATCGCATTGAAAGCCTCCTCTTCCGTTAGATCTTGAGTGTCTGGATTCTTATCAGTACGACACGCAGTCCAGCAGCTCTCGCCGACTGGGCGCCAGTGCACACTGGGATCTTTGCTTCCACACAACAACTCCGTCTCCACACACGCCACACAATCATCATCATTTTCCGCGTACACGTGCGAGCAGCAGCAGTAGTAGTAGTAGTAGTAGTAGTAGTAGAGTTGCTGAATTCGGTGAGCAGATCTGCGCACAGAGCGGAGAATAGAAAGGCAAAAGGGAAATAGAAAGAGGTGCAGCAAAAAGACTCACACACATCGTCCCGGTGTCGCTGTTGCGTGCGCGGTAATGATGCGACCTCCCGCGGCAGGCGCAACTCGCACACTGCACGCATTGCAAAACGGGATCCACAAAAGAAATACACACATAACGACAGAACAGCCACCAAAAACTAGAAGGAAGAGAGAACCACAACCATCTCCCCCTACTTGCACAACAAACGGCCCTCCACTTTTTAAGCAATATAGTTTCTGCAAGCTCTCCATCGTTCCGCTCCACGCTCTCAGCGCCCACAGTGGGATCCAGCACATCGTACAGGTGAAAAACGAAACCTGTCTCACTCCCGTCGGGGAAAAAATAAAATTACCGTGACGACAACAACAACGGTGCAAGGGTGTCGCATCGGATGATACGATGGCGTTGTTGGCGTCCAGATAAATGACGCGTACCCTCGAAAATACGCGTGGAAGATATGGCACGTAAGACTGCAGAGTTGCGTCCTCAGATAAACGGTATTCGGAGCCAACCCTCTCTTTCTTGATGGAAAAAATGGGTCAAGAATGTCGTCAGAGAGGCAACAGTGCAGAAGGCAGGGAGGGTAAAGTACCGCACACGGGAGCCAAATATTCGACTGTCTCGTCCCTGGAAAAGTACAACCAACTTGGCCAGGGTTGTCTCGCTCTCTGGCGATGGCACATTCAAAAAAAAAAAGACTCACAGTATTGAGGGGACTCAAAAAAGCCCCAACGCGCGTGCTGCGACTCCACGAGAGTGTGGACGGTCTGCATGTGTCCATGCAAGTCACAGTCGATAGGCGCATTATAGGGGATACTGCTTGAGTGCGCCAAACGACGGTTACTTGCCTCATGCCACATCACAGGCAGGCCGTCCCCCATCAATCCCTGCAGGATTCGCCTACACTCCTCCAAGGAGTACTGGGGGCATCCGTTGTGCTGCACGCGGATTGCACCATCTTCCACAAAGGGTCTATTCAATAAAAGGCCGCGGTTAAACAGCCCGTCCACAAAAATCCTCAAAGGACCGCCACCCACCGCGTGCTGAGGTGGGAAACTAACGCGATGAATAAGTCTCCGGTAGGCTTCATCGTGAATACAAAACCGCTATTCCCTCCGTCACAGCGTCATCATCAACACAGCAACAACGCGCCAGTGCCGGCTCTGTTGGGTACAATGGGAGAGAAACTCCCATTCTCCAAGCCATGATGTCAACAAGAGAGTCAGACGGCTGCCCTGCCATGGCGATAACGTGTCCCATCAGGCGCAGCAGAATATCAGAGTCCAGCAGATTGGAAGGCTCGGCTATCACCCCGCCAATGAGAGAAATGCGCGCCACCACGCGATGCTCCGCTGGCAGTCCGCCTCCATATTGTGTTCCCTCAGTAACGGACTCTGCGTCAGCAGCAAGTGAGGCAAACCTCGGTTTGCTCCGCCTGAAATTCCCCCGGCATCTGCTCAATTCACCGCCATGGAAAATCGGCGATGTGCGGCTGCAAAGCATTTGATCGTTTCAGCAAACAAATTGGAGAAAAAGGGCTCAAACGCACCCACAAGACTCCCAGCAAGAAAAGGTACACACGGCATGACTGACACGAGTCAAAGTCATCTTTCTAAGACAAAGCATGGATGACTCTGCCGACGCCACACCCGCACCATATGCCATCAACTCCTCCACGGCAATAATCCTGCAGCGTGCGGAGAGGACGTTTCACGAGCGCATTATTGGCGGAGCCAAACAACTGTACCGTCAGCAGATGGCAGCTGTCGGCGGGGGAAAGTGAAGGTGATGGGACTGTTGGGGAGGGTCGATGCGCAGTGTCCCCCACAAATACGAGGCGGGTGAAGTGAAATAAACTCGTCTGAACGTCACCGGCCACCAAGATGCATTGCTCCCTGCTGTGAATATTGATGAGCTCGAGGCTGGAGCAACTACTCGCAATGCGTGAAAGCGTCTTTTTGCACTGGCGCTGCGATTCACATTAGACGGGCAACTTCAGAACAGTCGATCCCCAGCAGTAAAATGCAGCTGGAAGTGACGCTGTGGATTCTCGATTCCCCCGGCAACGGAGGGCGGAGAAGAAAACTGGTCTCCCCAGCTGCGCGGCATCCATCCATTCACTCTGTGCGTCCGGAGTGCCCCGCAGCTGCCTTGAGAGATGCGGCGGACAGACCTCCCTTATTTTCGCCTCGATCCGTCAACGAAGTCTTTCGCGGAGGCGTCGGCACACACCGAAGTCTCCCTCGTGCCCACCAAACAAAAGACACACCCGTTGAGCATCGTCACGTGCATCGACGGCCACGCAAATAAATATCCACCGCAACGCAAAGTGTTTCTTATTGGACACCAAAAGAAAACTGGAGGCGGCGGCCTGGACAACACAGACATCAAATCATCCGCCAGGCAACGCTGAAATACATGCGAAAGAGCCAACGCGGGACCAGCAGCACAGCCACTCGAGAGCTGCTGCGTGAACTCCACGGCAAATGGATCAGCCTCAACGCATGGGGCACTAATTACGGTGGGTGACAGCGCGAAAGCCAACGGTTCCGCAATGCCGGGAATTGTGGAGACGGCATTCAAACCCTCCCGGGATTCGTGTGCAAAGACACGCAAATAATTCGCCCCTCGGTGCAAGTCGTCACCATAATCCTCATCGCTCTCCTTGCCGTCATTCGTATTGTCACACTAAGAGCCGGTAAGGGAAGGTACAGCTATGATGATTGTGACATCACACTGAATGAAACAACACAATGCCTCGAAGGGTGCCAAGTGCAGGCATCCCGTCAGGCGGCGACACGGCGCAATCTTAGCAATGTACGAAGCAAAGGCAACGAAACAGCTTTCATCCGCCATCGTAATCGCGTCCAGCAGGTTCGCCCTCTTCTGCTCGTTCGGCGCCTCGACCTTCTCCGCAGCACCAACAGCCGCTGCCGTAGACCACGCTGCTGCTGCAATCACTCCCACAGAGAGACAAGGAAGAGTGTGTGGAATTGTGTGCCGAGAGCACAGCGACTGTCATCGCCAGAGGAGACCATCGTGGCACCGTCCGTCACGCGCCAGCACACACCGAGCAAAGCACGTACTCGGCAGTGCAAATACATTCTTGCAGAGCTCTGTGCAAATACTTGTGTGTGGGTGTGTGATGGAGAAGCTGAAAAGAGGAGCACAGGGAGGCACATCAACACAGCAAGAGGCACAGCTGGATGGCAGCGATACATGCGGTACGGCCCCAACCTCAACAATCACGCACGGTGGCAGCACACACAAAAACAAAAAAGAGAACAAAAAAAAACACGGCGGCAGGGTGTGGCTGTGTGTGTGGCGCTGCGGGTGTCTGCCCGCCCTGGCCGCAAAAAACAAAACAAGAGGGAAAGAAATGTGTGCTCCGCCCCACAGGCCCTCGTCGCACGCCCACGCGTCACGGGTCCCTCAGCGCACCGTTCGTCGCGGCCCCTCCTCATGCGTGCAGCAGGCGAGGCGCACAGGGCCGTCGTCATGAGCGTGTCGGTGGGTGTGCGAGTGGAGCAGTTGGGCGGGAAACACACGGCACCCCTCACAGGAAGAGTGCAGAAGAAACAATTAAAAGAGGGAAGAGTAGAAAAGAAAAAACGTCCATAGTGGTTGCCCCCAAAAGGAAAAAAAGGAGGGATGAGGGATGAGAGATTTAAAACGCAAAAATTAATAACAAAAAAGACTACCAAAAATTTTTAAAGCAAACAGGAAAAAAATTTAATTTTACAAAAAAACAAAAAGCCGAAGCGTGGGACGACCAGCGCACACACTCTCATTGCTCCCGTAAAGCAAAACACACACACACAGGGAGAGAGAGAGAGGTCGCCCACTCAATGCAATGGAAACAAAAAAAACAGTTACGGTGCTCCGCCCATGCAGCCAGGCAGGACGGCAGCGGTGCGTGTGGTGCAGGAGAGAGCACCAACGGGCCTGCATGGTTGTGCACGCATATATACAATGGGCACATTATGTGTGTGCCTCGTGGGGTGAGGTGAGGGCGAGAGTCCATGCAAGGGGACACACACACAGAGAGTGAGAGAAGGACGAGTGTGTGTGCGGGCGGTGCACGGCTCTCTCTCCCTCACTCTCACGCGGCCACCACCGCAGCAGCAGCCGCACACGCAACAACAAGAAGAAGCAAAAGAGGGGAGGTGGTGTGGGAGACCACGGTGCTGCCGTCACTGTCGTCCTTAATTGCAGTTGCATTTGTACCATTAGCAGTTTTTTCTTTCGGGGATTCTTCGCCATTTCCTGCGGAATGTTCACGCTGTTGGTGTTGCTGTTTTTCATGCTGTTCTTTTTCTTGTAGTTCGTGTTCCTCTTCTTTTGGAAGCTCTTGTTTTTCTTCAGAATGGTGTTCGACTGAATTATCTTGATCATGTATTGCTGTTTGTACTTCCTTTTCTCCGACTGTTGTACCTCGCAGTGCTTCTGCTGCTGCCTCTGCTGTCTTTCCTGCTGTTGCTTTCGTTTCTGCGGTTGCTGTTGCTTTTGCCTTTTCTGCCGCTGCTTTTGCTTTGGCTGTTTCTGCTGATGCTGTTGCTGTTGCTGTTGCTGCCTTTTCTGCTGCTGCTGCTGCAGCTTTTGCTGCTTCATCATTTGCTGCCGCTGCTGCTTTTGCTGCTGCTGCTGCTTTTGCTGCTGCTTCTGCTGCTGCTTTTGCTGCCGCTGCTGCTTTTGCTGCTTCTTCTGCCGCTGCTTTTGCTTTGGCTGTTTCTGCTTCTGCTGCTGCTGTTGCTGTTGCTGCCGCTTTTTCTGCTTCTGCTGCTTTTGCTGTTGCTGCAGTTTTTGCTGCTTCTGTTGCTACTTTTGCTTCATCTTTTGCTGCTGCTGCTGCTTTTGCTGCTTCTTCTGCTGCTGCTTTTGCTGTTGCTTCATCTTTTGCTGCCTCTTCTGCTGCTTTTGCTGCTGCGGCTGCTTTTTCTGTTTCTGTTTTTGCTTTTGCTGCAGCTGTTGCCGCGTTTGCTGTTGCTGTTTTTGCCCTTTCTGCTGATGTTTTTGCTTCTGCTGCTGTGGCTGCTGCCTCTGCAGCCGCCTTTGCTGCTTCTTCTGCTGCTTTTCCTGCTGATGCTGTTGCTGTTGCTGTTTTTGCTTCTTCTGTTGCTATTTTTGCTCTTTCAGCTGCTTCTGTTGCGGTTGTTGCTTTTGTTGCTGCTGATTCAGCTGCTTCAGCTGCCGCTTTTGCTTTTGCCTCTGTTTCTACTGCCTTTGTTGCTGCTTCAACTGCTGCTTTTGCTTCTGCTGCTGTGGCTGCTGCCTCTGCTGCTGCCTTTGCTGTTTCTTCTGCTTTTGCTGTTGCTGTTTTTGTTGCTTCTATTGCTATTTTTGCTCTTTCAGCTGCTTCTGTTGCTACTTCTGCTGCTGCTGCCGCCTTTGCTGCTGCTTCTGCTGCTGCCTTTGCGTCAGCTGTTGCTCCTGCTGCTCCTTGTTCTTGTCTTTCCTGCAATCTCGCAACTGGAATAAATAATTCTTTCAGATTGTTGTCTTCCCCACCAGAAACAACAACATCTCCATCGGCCGCACTGCACCACAGCACGCAGAGGGCACACACCAGCAGCACACGGCCAGTCATCATCATCGCCATCACTCCTGTCACTTGCGTGCAGCCTTCAGCACAAACTAACTCCCCGTCAACGCAGAGCAAAAAGGAAAAGCAAAAGGAGAGACACGTCACACAGCCGCGCACACTGTTCCATCCAGGAATGAGAGTCACGCACAGTAAAAAATAAAAGCAACGCACACAAAAATGAGACAGATGGAATCAGTACAATTGCAAATCTCAAACGCCGCCCCGCAAACCAGAAGTTCTAAAAATTAAAAAAATAAAAATTAAAAAACAACGCATCCAAGGTTCCGCCGCGCATGCACATAATGCGAGAGCGTTCCGTCGTGTCGGCACCCCTCACGGAGGGTACGCACACACACAAGAGAAGGATAGAGCGCACAAAGCAACACAAAAGCAAAGTAACAATGAAAAAAAGGAGATCCCCGCACACCATGTGGATTGTTGGTCCACGGGAAGTACGGCCAATATTTGTTGTGAAAAGATGCATTTTTTCCTCTTTAATTTATTTGTGACAGCGACCGGTGAGTAGCGCAAGGGCCGTCAGCAATAACTTGGCAAGCATTCCGTCGCAAACAGGCCGTTATGCAGGCTGAGGCAGTCACAAACAGTCGCAGTCCATATTCTCAACGACGGGGCATTACCGCAGTAGATGAAGCGGAGTCTCCCGTGGTCCGTCGGGGATCAGCAGCACGTGGCGTCTGTGATGAGGCGGTGGCGGAAGGGCCCGGTCCACCTCGAGTGTCCGCGTTTGTGCTTCCTGCGTGTCTTGACTGCTGGTATGCTTGGCATTTTCGGTAGCGATCTTCGCGCAAGGCGTCTGCTAAGAAGACGGTGGCGCCATTGTGGCATCCGCATGAGAGGCCCTCTCCCACCATCGGAACGCCAGGCCGAGCACGTCCGGCATCTGCCGTCATATTGTGGATGGACGAGCGCACTCTGCCGCCGAGTGAGCGGGAAGACGTCAATCCGCCGCTCGCTGGTCGGCAAGGAGTTGCGGCGTTCACTTCTGGAAGAGGTCCCGGCGGAGGCGGAGGCGGGCCGATCCCCTCAATAAAGAAAGGACAGTACGACCGACACAGGGAGTTAATTGTGATCTGAAGGGCGCGTGCGAGCCCGTCGAAGAGCGGGCAGGAGTCGCATCGCGCCTGTGCGCCGTGCCGCAACTCGGGGCACGATGTCCGGGTCGTCCCAGGAACAGAGTCCTTGCCACACCGAAAAACGCCTGTCACGCGGTGTGTGCGGCTTCCTTTTCCTCATGGACGTCCTTCCGGTTCCGTCGCTTGACTGCAGTGAGAAAGTCCACGTGCCAGGCATTGACGCAGTCCTGCGGGAGGGATCGTGCCATGATGGCGTCAGCGTCCGCTGTCACGTTGCGTGGGATTCCGCAGTGCCATGAGGAAAATGTGGAGCCAACTGCGTGACCTCGATCCGCCAGTGGAAGCGGCACGGTGGAACTCTCCTCGGTGACGTCGTCGTGCACCGCCAGCGGGCCAAGGCGGAGCGCCTCCATCGCCGAGGGGGAGTCTGTGGCGGCAGGAACTCGTGTGGGCGATCGGGATGCTGCTGCCAGGCGGGGAACTGGGAACTGTCTGTGGCCATGCTCAGTGGCAGGACACTCCGCTCGGCAGGAGCATGCAAGGCTGCCGGCAGCTGCGCGGTGAGGCCCAACAGGGAGCGCGGCCGTCCGGGGAGTCAAGTGGCAGCGCAGCGGATCCAGACGCATGCTCAGCGAGAGACGACAAGCCGTCCACCGCCAACACAGTTGCCAGCGACTAACAAGACGTTGACCATGAATAGGACACGTATGCCCGCACCGCCGTGGGCATGGACAGCGACCCCGATTCACTCAGCAACAGTGATCTAATGCCTCTGGATGGTACAACAGCCACGCCGGAGCACAGCACAGCCCTAGCAAACGTTGAACGAGTGATAACTTGTCGGGTGGCGCTGATGCCGCACAGGATTATTTGCGCACAACGTCTGGGAAACCAGAGATCCCATCGGAGCACAACGCAGCATCACTTGTGCGCAACGGTTTTTTGTGAGCACGGGCATTTCACGGACTTGTTGGCCATGGCCGAAATTGGTGACATCACCGTGCATGGGTGTGTGTCTCGGGTGTTGTTGCTTCTGCTTCTGGGGCTGTGAGGCACTGCGGCACTCTGCTGAGGTGTGAGGGAGGGTGGAGTTGCGGCTTTTTGTGGAACAATAACTGTGCAGCTTGCCAGCATTACCCACTGAGTTTTGTCAGTATTTTAAGCTTTTTTATTTTCTTTTATTTATTTATTTTTGCTGCTTTTGCCCTATTGGAATTATCGGCATCCCTGTGTTTTTCTGCCAATGCTCGTTAGCTGCACACTGTCATGAGTGACATGCTTGTCCCTCTTTTGTTTACTTCTCTTGCTCACACGCGGTGTCGGCCTCACTGCTGTGCGTCCCACGGACTGCACAAGAGGAGGATTGGAGAGACAGGCTGGGTGCCGCATGAAATGTGAGGGGAGTTGTGTGGGCTCACGGAACAGTACGATCTTTTTTTGCTTTATTCAATCCAGGCATTACGTATACACAAACCAGTGGTTGTTTACATTGCGTTGCTTGGCACATAAAATGAAAGTCGTGCCTGATCTTTTTTTATTTTTTACTTTTTGGGAGTCATGCCGGAACCTCAACTATGTTGTTGTTCTTTTTTTGCTTTCCCGCTTCTCGTTTGCAGGGCGGTGTGTGTTTTTTGCCTTTTTACCAATTCCAACTGCCTCATGGTCTGTGAGCTTTTGCTGCTGCCATTTGTGGCTGTGCGTGCGGTGGCTGTGTGAATTGTCTCTCCTTTTGCTTCCCTTCTGCGTTGACGGGGAGTTAGTTTGTGCTGAAGGCTACACGCAAGTGACAGGAGTGATGGCGATGATGATGACTGGCCGTGTGCTGCTGGTGTGTGCCCTCTGCGTGCTGTGGTGCGGTGCCGGCGGTAGGTGTGATGAAGGGGAGGCGGCAGGTCATGGTGTTCCACCCGATGTTCCTGCGAGTGGTACTGAAGGTGGGCTGGGAGGGACAAGAAATGCGGCGCCGGCACCAGACTCACAAATACAATCGTCAGGAGAGGAGCAACAACACAAATCTCGGGAAGGACGTCCCGCACTCCCAGAAGGATCTTCGGAAGAAGAAGAAGAGGAAGAAGAAACGGTTGAAAATAAAAATTTGGAAGAAGTAACGGAACGTGGTGAAGAAGGACGACACGAAGATGGACAAGATGCAAATGAGCGGGATGGAAGTCAGAGAAGCGGAGTTTTAAAAAAACAGAAGGAAACCCCATCAACATCAACGCCAGCAGCTCCAGCAGGAGAAGGAAACCAAAACGCATCACCACAAGCACCATCTGTTGACAGTCATGGTGGAGGCAGGACTGATAGAATTGAAGGTTCCATCTTGAAGGCTCCTTCTTCTGGGGTTGCTCTACAGCACGGCGGCGATGCGTCTACCAATCAGAAGAATAGATCTTTGGAAACGGGCAAGCATGCAGAAAACACAATAACTGGAGGTCCCGTCCCGTCCCAGGTGAAGGCACCGAAGGAGTCAATAAACGATGCAGAAAACCATTCCGTCACTGGGGAAGATACGGCATCCAACCAAGTTGTTAGTAGAGGTACAACTGAATACGAGGCACAGCAGAGAGCCTTGGCGACGCAAGACCGTTCAAGCGTGTCATTCCCCGACAGCGAAAAAAAATGGCAAACAACGCCACAAGAAGCGCCAAAGACACAAGTACCGCCACCAGCAACAGAACCATCGTCAAGAGAAGGGCAACTACCAACAGCAACAACGGACTCACAGACACCAAATGCTCAAGAACATAAAAGGTTACTGTTACCAAAAAAAAACAGAGCACAATGCACCGGAACATCCTTCAGAGGATATTGTGGCAGAGCAACAAGGTCAAGCCACAGCCACAGAGAATTTGACGGAGAATGCACCTGCCACCAATCAAGCGGAAAAAACAGCATCACCCAACTCTACAAGTGGCGGTGGTGAAGCCCGGAGTACGGCGGATGAGAATACTGCCAATGCTCAACGGCCCAACCCCAACGAATCACACGAAGATCTTGAGGGTAGTGATACCCGCCCAGTTCCCACAGCCAGTGAGGCAGCACCTCAAACAGCAGGAACAGCTACCACCGCCAACACAACGACAGCTGGCGACAGCGACAGCACCGCGGTCTCCCACACCACCTCCCCTCTTTTGCTTCTTCTTCTTGTTGTTGCGGCTGCTGCAGCTGCGGTGGTGGCCGCGTGAGAGTATGAGGGAGAGAGAGCCGTGGACCGCCCGCACACACACTCGTCCTTCTCTCTCTGTGTGTGTCCCCTTGCATGGACTCTCGCCCTCACCTCACCCCACGAGGCACACACATAATGTGCCCATTGTATATATTGCATGCACACCCATGCAGGCCCGTTGGTGCTCTCTTTTGCACCACACGCACCGCTGCCGTCCTGCCTGGCTGCATGGGCGGAGCACCGTAACTGTTTTTGTTTTTATTGCATTGAGTGGGCGACCTCTCTCTCTCTCTCTCTCCCTGTGTGTGTGTTTTGCTTTACGGGAGCAATGAGAGTGTGTGCACTGGTCGTCCCACGCTTTTTTTATGTTTGTTTTACTTGTGTTGTGGTTAAGTGCACCCATTCCAGTTTTTTATTTATTTTTGGCTTGATTTGACTGTGGACGCCTAAAATTGTCTTTGTGTATTCCCATATTGTTTCTTTCTTATTGAGAGAGTGTCAGTCTCTTTTCTCCCTGTTACGCTACTGAGTATTTTTTTCTTTGACATACAGCATGCGTCAGTTGATCGACGTGACTCTTCGTCCTGCGGCGCTGCTGGTGCTGTTTGTGATTTCTGCGATGTGATTTGTCGGCGGGTGTCTTGCTGTCAGCCTGACGCATCCTTCGTTCCTTGACGATTTGTTGCGCACAGACGGTGCGTGGGCGTCTCTGGTGATGGTGAGGGACGCGTGTCTCAGAGCGCAGGATGCGTCGCGGGTGTGCGGCGTCGTTTGTGAGGACCGATGGGTGACCATCCGCATCCAGGCGTCATCAACGGACTGTGAGGACAGCATAAGGCACTGCGGCTTCTTTTGGTTTTGCGCAAAGAATTTGTTGGACGGTGCGTTTGTTTTCAATCTTTTGCAGCTTTTGTGGGAGAAGGTGGGAGGTTGAGGGCATGAGGACTGAATTCATTTGAGTGGCTGCGTTCCGCTGACTTGCGGCCAGTCGTGGCACTCTTTTGGGGTTTGTCATCTTGTCTCTTTTGTTTACTTCCCACCGCAGCACGTGGATAACACTGATCCGAGGAACATTTGTTTGACCGCGTGTGTGCTGCCGCCGTGCGTGGTGCATGGACTATGTAATTGTGTGGGGAGGTGCATTGGAGTGACGAATACTTCTGTTTGGCGCATCGCGGTGTGTCGGAATGATGTTCGGATGACATTTGAAGGGTGTTGTTTATGATTTGTGTGTCTTCTCTGGTGGAGCCGACATGTGTGCGGGGATTGTGGCATTGCTGGCTGACAGCTCCACGTCACTTTTCAGCATTCCTGGATGTGCTGAGGAATGACGACTGGCGACCAGCGTGTTGGTGCTGCTGCTGGGAATAAGTGCATCGGGAATGAGCCGTTTTCTCTTTTCCGTGCTGGAGCCGATGAACTGGCACGAGGGCACCGGCTGCAGGCTGCCTGCCAGCACGTGTGAGCAGCGGATCCATGCACACACCGACGCTCATCGCAAGATCGTGTGCGATCACAGTGGCCTTTTGTGACGTGCTTTTGTGAACGTCAGCCCATCGAAGAATGTGTGAAGCAAACGGCTGACTGCACACGAGGAAAATAGGTGCGTGCACTGTGCCGTGTTTCAGCGTCGATGGCAGAGCGGCAGGAAGCCCGTGCTGGCAACTGAGATCTTTGCGTCGCGAGGGATGTCGCTGTTGATTTTGGATCGTCGAGGGTGAAATGATTTTGCTGCTGCCCGTGTGTGTGGCCACTCCGGCAGAGGGCGGACACAAAAGGGAGGGATGCAGGCGCTGAGTGTGTGTGTGTGTGCAGGTGCCATGCAACAACGTCACAACAAACATGCTGCGACTCGGTGACCCTCACATCGTTGTGGTCCTCACGAACAGCCGAGGCACGGCCCACACCGATGCACTCAGTGGACGGAGTGAGGCATCTTTTGAGGCGCAGCAGGGAACAGGATGTGTTGACGCAGCCACGACGTGCATGGAGTGTCACGATGGCACAGTCGGCTGTGGCTGGTGGAATATTTACTTCTCGGAGGCAACAGAGAGAGAGAGAGAGAGAGAGAGAGCTGCACCTGCTGCTGGCGTCGTTGCTGCCTTTTGTGGCCTCCCATGCCGATTATTGTCTGTCCGCTGATCATGGGTGGCATGCCTCCACTAGTGACGTCGTCTGCAGGCATTTCACAGCAACAGTGAAACACACATCACGTCGCATGCTTTGGCTGTGGATGTGGTGTCGTGAATGCAGCCGGCATTATTTTGCCCGACTCCTTTTCACTGCTTTGCGACGAATAGATGCGTCCCCGCCCGAGTCATTCACTGCAGCTCCGTGTGTTGTACTGCCAGCACAATACTCTCTTGTTTTCTGACGCCTGGCTGACAGTCAGACACCACTGCGTTGGGACATGCAGGGATGTGGACTGCCGCTCACGGTGTTGGGCACCGCTGTTTGGATGCGGCGGCCACACGAGCGGATGTATTGTGGCACAATCGAATGCGTGAAATACGCGGGATCACAGCGGCTGCAATAATATCAGCGGTGTGGCACCACGGAGTATGTGAGAGGGTGATGCATGATGAATCACGGTGGGCAGCATGCGAGGGAAGTGCACCGCGACGGAGCGTCATCCCGCCCTCAGCCTGCAGGGGAATGTACACCCACAAAATATATGGACGAGACGCCACCAAACACACATGCCCTTCCATGCACCAATAAATAGGAGCGAAGGTGCGTTCTGGTGTGTGGGAGTCCACTCACATATTTTCATATCCACCGAAATAAACGGTGAGGAATCAGGTGCCACAGCAACGAAAGGAAAAACAAACATCTATTGCAGCACTTTACCGGCGAAGAGCAGGAACAACACAAACCGAATTATTGGCTGCACCAACACAAGCAAACTTCAAAAGAGGAAAAAAAAATAATAATTGTGCACCCTGCAGAAATCCCCAACACACGATCCAGGCATGAAGGTTTGCCCTCCGCAAAAACAAAACAACGCATGCAGAAATCTGCCAGCATTCAAACCGAAACGCAAATAAATGATTGCTTGCATTATTCCATCCACTGCACTTATTTTTGCGTGTGCTGCTGCTGCTGCGATGGTGCCCAGGCCTGCATGAAGTGGTGCGCGCTGAATATGAAGGAAGGCCGAAGGCAACTGAATTGTTTTTGCGATGAATATTGGCTGCACTTCCCGTGGACCAACAATTCACGTGGTGTGCGGGGATCTCTCTTTTTCTATTGTTACTTTGCTTTTATGTTGCTGTGTGCGCTGCACCTCCTCTTGTGTGTGTGCGTACACTCCGTGGGGGGTGCAGACACGACGGACCGCTCTCGCCGTATGTGCATGCGGTGGAACCTTGTGTGCCGCTCCTGTTTGCTTCTCCCTCTTCCATCTGTGTGTTGGTGTTGCGGCAGGGCTGTGTGTGTGTGTGCCTGCTGCCGTGGATTGGAGTGTGTGTCGTGCGTGGTGCGGCGTACGGTGCATGCCTGGCTGCTGCCCTCTCCTCATGTGGTGTGCCCTCTGTGTGTGTGTCTGCCGCACCTCTCGTCTCCCCTGTTGCTCTCCATGTCCCTCACTGTGCAGATCAGCTCCACACCACTGAACGATCACACTCACGATGACGACGTGCCGTCTGCTGTGCGCCCTGTTGGTGCTCGCCCTGTGGTGCTGCCCGTCCGTGTGCGGGACAACGAGTGGAGATACAACTGAAAAAAATTCTGTTTCAAAGGGTGTCGAGAAAGAGGGAACAGGTGAGGGGATGGAATCGCATAGTACAACTTCTCCTTCGCCACAGAAAGGAGAGGAGGGGGATGGGAGTGAGGAACAGGAACCAAATATGGCGCTTCATACGTCACAGGAAAAGGGTACAATAAAAGAAACGGCACAGTCACAAAATACTTCCAATAATAAACAGGATCAGGAACAAGAAGATGGGCAATCCACTAAGGAAGAGACTGAAAATACGAACACTAACACGTCAAATGAACAAAAGAAGGCTGCTGCACCAACAACGACAACTACAACAATGGCACCAACTACAACGACGACCACTGCGCCGGAGGCACCAACTACTACGACCACCCGCGCACCGTCACGTCTTCGCGAAATCGACGGCAGCCTCAGCAGCTCTGCGTGGGTGTGTGCCCCGCTGCTGCTCGCCGTATCCGCGCTGGCGTACACCACTCTGGGCTGAAGAGGTGTGTATGCGGGCTGTGCGTGCCAGCACTCAACCACGGGGATTTGTGTGCGTCCACTGTGGTCCGATGTAAATAAATAAGAGAAAATAATGATTGTGTTTTGCTTCATTTGCTTCCGCTGCCCTGCTTTTTGCTCCATTATGCTGCCTCCGTATCCGTCACGTTGAACGCATCCCAGACAAACTCATATGCACTACACGCATACAATTTTTTGCGTGGACGCATTTGTGTGTGCGTGTGCATGCGCACTGGAGCCATTCGATGCAGCTCCTTGTTTTTTGTGTGTTTTTGCATTTTTAACTTCATTGCTGTTTGTTTACCTGTGTTTTGTTTCTAATTGTTTTGTGTTTTTCTGTTTGCTTGCTGCGGGGCTTTGTGTGTTTTTGCCCTTTCACTGATTCCATCTGTCTCGTGGTGTGCGCTGCTGCTGCTGCTGGGGTGCTGTCTTTTGTTGCTGTGCGGTGGTTGTGCGTGTTGTAGCGGCTGTGTCTCCTTTTGTTTCCTGTGCTTTTGCAGGTTGGTTCCACAGCGTTAGGCGACTCCACTGTTCGTGATGATGACTGGCCGTGTGCTCTGCGTCCCGTTGGCTCCTGCAGTGATGTGCAGCTGCTCGTGCGTGTGAGCGACGGCAGCTGTGATGGCTGCGGAATTTGGGTCCGTGGCCGGTGGCTCTGGACGAAAGGGGAATGTGAACTCTGAGGACAATAGCGATCAGGAAGACGAGGAAGACGAGGAGGGTGGAGGAAACACCGCGGGTGAGGGCCATAATCCCACCTCCGCAGGATCACTCACTGCTCCGACGAGGCAGGATCAATCCAGCAGCGACCCAATGCAAAGGAACAATTGCAATCCGTCCGGCACTGGCAGCGCGTCTGCTGCTCGGATGCGTGCAAGTGGACCGGAGTCTTTGGGCGGAGGGCACGCTGCAGAAACAAAATCCCCACGCCCCGACGCATCTCAGCAGGCAGCAGGTGGAGTGCATGCTGGTAGCGGGAGGACCTCCCAGGGCAGTCAGGCTTCGGAACAAACCGTCACGGGAGAGTCACAGGTGCCAGGGACGGCGAAGGAAGCACCGCAGGGCGACGAAGGAAGAGAACCCGGAGCACAACACGAAGCCGACCAAATCACAAAAATGACGGTGATGAATTGTTGCGCAAAAACAGCGGTGGAACGGGAGAGCCGCCATCGGGATCGCAAGATGCACCACGTCTCTATAGTGGAGAGAATGCTCATTATTATTTTTTCCGTACTCTTACCAGCACGTCTAGCCATACAATGCCATCTGGTTGCCGAGGAGGTGGTCGAGCAGCGACATGAGTTTGCTGCCATGAAGCAACTGCCATTGAGAGAACTTTCCGAGGCGAAGGTCCTGTGCAATGCCCAGCCGTTGGCGCACAGCCAAGGTGCCTGGACATTCTAGAAGCAGATGGTGCAAGGTTTCCTGCGGGCCAATTGGCGCGCTTGTGGAAGCTGGCTGATCCTGCGGCAGCAGTGATCGCCTCCTGGCACTGCTGTTTAGATGTCGGTTGGCGTCTGGGTTGTGTGCGCAGCGACTTCTGTGCTGTGCGGTGCTTCTACGTGTGGGGAAAACCATGTCACAGAAATCGCATTTGAGCTCGGGAAGCGGTGGAGGATGTTCCGGGTGAAATGACCGACAGTGACCGACGAGATTCGAGAATCCCGTCAATGTAGAATCACAGTACGGACATTTCTCCTTCCGACGGCGTGTGACGGTTCGTCTCCTTACTGGAGAGACGTCTTCCTCCCTTGCCGACGGGGGAACAGCGTCCGTCCCCGGTGCAGTCGGGTCGTTGTTAGAGCGCATATATGCAGACTGTTCCGGTGAGATGTTGCAGAAACGGCATTGGTTCGTGCAATCTCTCACAGCCCAGTATAATCGGCCCCAGAGCTCAGATTCGCCGCACCTTGCCCTAGCGAGGTGAACCAGTTCTTGACGGTGGAGAACTTCCTGAGTGATCAGGTCCTTACCGCTGAGATCTGATGGCCTTGTGCCGCAAAGCAAGTAGCGATGAGTGTCTTGACGAATCGTACTACGCCACTTATTGGTGAGCTGGGTAGTAAAACATGTCAGCAGATCCGTATGCCATAAAGGTGCAATTCCTTGCTCCGTGTATTGTCCAGTCTCCATAGTCTGCGTCGCATACTGATCTGCAAGCTCGTTAGCATGTATTCCACAATGTCCGTAACAAAACTGCAGGTGCACGGACCAGCCAGCACACGTCAATGTCAAGAGACGCTGCCAGATCTGATCCTCCGTCCAGTCTGTCTGACTGAGCGGGCCCTTGTTTAGAGCCGCTAGAAGAGACTGACTGTCTGTAACCACAAGCAGGGTTTTATGCCCGTGCTGGATACGAGGGATAATCAGCTTCTCTAGGGCTAGAAGCAGCGCACGGGATTCCGTCCTGTAGCTGCATGGGCGTATACCGCAGTTTATACTGGCCTTTTCTATTATCTCCGAGGAATGCAAGGATGAGAGCAATATTCCAACCCCTGCTGACTTGGGAACATCGACACCGCCATCCGTTGCGACTATCCAAGTTCCCCAGCGATGAAGTCGCACCTTGTCGCGGTGCTGGGGCTCTCGTTGCATATAGGAACTCCGCTGCGGTGCATCGCGGCGAGCACGACGGAGACCAAGACAACTCCACCCTTCGAGAAGGTTCCACGCCATGCCCGGTGTGGGGAGGTGAAGCGGTCTGCCTGCAGACTGTCGGACAAAACTGCACGACCGTTTCGCAGCGGTCATTCCGTTGATATCACCCGTTGCGGTGACGTACAAAAGAACTCTGGCACCGAGGAGGATGGCTTCATCACTGTTTGGCAGCGTAACATTGCAGGCCTCTCGTCCGTAAAAAAGAATGCATCTGCTGTGCGACTGGAGCAGCATCCACCTGTCATCGTTCTCCTCCAGGAAATAAATACTCGAAGCGCCACAGCAGCAAAACTATATGGCCATAATAGCTTTCTTGAGGCCGCACTGGGCGAGCTGGTGGCGTTGCCACTCTGGTGCGCCACTCTCTGCCGTGCGAGTGCCTGACGCTCCCTGGCACAGACCTCCTGGAGACCATTGCTGTCCGTGCATTTTCACAGGGCTGTCCCAGCATCTGCGTGGTGAATCTCTACAACCTTCCCACAGCAACCGTTCAAAGATTTTCGTTTATTATTGCCATTCGTCGCTTAGGCCCCGCAGCTATTATCGCGGGTGAACTGAATTTACATCATGGACTCTGAGACAGACACCTACCCTCAACGACTGAAGGAGAGGATTTGTCCGCTACTCCAATTGACATGATTTTGGGCTGGCAAATGACCCGGCGCAGGCAACACAGATTACACATCGTAATTTCCCGTCCCCTGACGTGGCTGCGTATCGCGTGCTACGTGTCACCCACTGGCAATCCACCCCCTACATGGATTCCGACCACTGCTTAATATCTTACTCGGTAGGGATGGATGATGTCATTCCGCGAATAGCCAACACGCTGCCTCGGCGGGAGAAAGCCACTTTTGCCCTGCTCAAAGCGGATTGGCCTGCTTTCACCTCGTTGTGTAAAACACTCCTTCCCGCCGCGTCCACATGGTTGGACATTCGCAGTGGTATCTTGCGAGCAGCTGAGCGCCATATCCCGCGCGGCAGCGTGACAGCCCAAAACGATCTGGACAAACAAAATGGAACAAGCCGAGTCCGTCGCAGAAGCAGCACACAAAGCACACACATCGCTTCACCAGGAGACAGCCTGCTTCGAGCCAAATTCATCCAAAAATGTGGAGGACCAAAATCAAGCCTTACGCCGTGGCTTCGCTATGCTTCTGGAAGCCCGTGCGAAAAAAATTGGGGCCTCATCCAGACCAAGCTGGCGATATCTTCGCGGCGTGGCGGCGCCGCACCCTCATCCACTAGAATCGGTTGTGCTCCGAACTGATCCTCGGACCGCGTATGCGCTCTGCCTCGGCAACAGGCAAATCTGCTTTTCCGTCATTTTGTGCGGGTCTCACGTGCCACATTACCCTATACTGCTGCTGCTGCTCGCCGCACTCCCTTGCTCCCTGGTGGCTGGAAAATGGATCGGCCCTTCCCGCCGTATGAACTTGACGTGACCATTCGTGACTCTTCGCTCGGCTCAGCCCCTGGCCACGACAACATGTTAAATGAGTTCCTGCACCGTCCCGGGCCCGTCGCGCGTGGCACTCTTAGAACAATGATCCACAATTCCTTCGCAAATGGCAGCCTGCCTGGCTCCTTGAATACGGTGGACACTATTCCCATTCCCAAACCTGGGAAGGGCCATTCCGCCCAGAGAGTTACAGACCTATCAAATCACTCTCTGTTTTACTACACTGAAAGAATGATTCACCGCCGTCTGTCAGCGTTATTGCCGCACCACCCACGTCAATTTGGATTTACACCTTCGCGTTCTAAATCGGACGTGGTGACAATTGTTATTGGTAAAATTACCGTGGATCGAATGAGTCCAGCATTGTGGAGTTTGAGCGCCCTGGAGGCGGCGCCCACACACGACACCCTCGTCGCCATCGCTCGCTCGTAGCCTTGATTGATTTTTCAACTGCCTTCGACACCATTGACCATGGGAAATTATTCGGCATGCTTGACGGACTTCCACGCCTTGGCCCCAAACCCAAACGCTGGCTGCACAACAACCTGCGGGGCCGCTATGTTAGGGTATGCACTCGCGAACAGCACTCCCGGAAACAGCTCGCCTCAGCTGGAGTACCACAAGGCAGCGTCCCGGGACCCCAACTCTTCCTCCACTGTGTGGATGATCTGCTGCGCCGCCTGGACAACATCTATTCTGCCTCCGCAATCATGCACGCTGACGACCTCACACTTGTTGCCTCAGGTGCGGAAATTCATGCATGTGCTGCGGCAATGCAACCTGCCCTGTCACCTATAACGACATGGGCTGCCGAGCACAGCCTAAAAATAAACGTTGATAAGAGCGAAGCTACTTTATTC